CCTTAAGCTTTCAAAGGTGAAATACATGACAAAAAGATGCTAAGTTCCACAAGTGCATCTTATTATTAAACTTACAGATGAGTTATCTTCACTCAGTGACTGCATAAGATGCCTCTTGAATGTCTCCAACTGTGGAACAACAAACTTTTAATTTATCTTGTAAAGGAACCAAAGTAAAAAAATCCGACTAGAAAAACTTCAGGTAGAAAGTAATTTTTTTATAAATATAGATGTAATCTAGACTCTCCTTCTTTTCCAAACATTAAAGGAAATCATTTTCTCTTAAATGTAAAAAATGAGGAAGATTAAGTCATAGCCCATTCTAGTGCTATTAAGCCTAGATAAATTCAAATGAAAATGTAAGAGTCTAAGAGAACATAGAACTTGAGTTTGGTATACAATTTCAACGATTGTAACTGGCTGGCATGTGCTGCTATCAAAACTTATCTGAAACTCACAACAATTGCATCTTCCAATGAAAAAATATCGAGCCAAACTTTAAATGGAAATAGGCATGATGCAACTGCACACAACTGCCACTACTTCAGGACTCATCACACCAGAATTAGATCTACAGAACCAACCACCCTATTTCTCAAAACAATTGGCATCCTGGCAATTATTTAAATTGAAATTGATACAAAAGTAACAGATAAATTATCAAATAAATGTTAGATTTCGTACATCATATGAAGAAAACCACACTCACCATATTCCAAAAGCAATGAATAGTGGAGTCACATAACTGAGCTTAATAGAGATACATAAATCAATCCAACGAAGCCTTGATAAAGAAACATATCGAAGAAAATATACTCTTCTAACAAACGTTCAACTGATTGCTTAGCTCTTCATCCAACTTGAAATATACTTTGGAAGCAAACACTTCTGACTGTGTAATTACAATAAACTTAGAACACCATATATCTCAGGCTCTCAGCCACAAAGGCATAGTGGAATGGGAATCATCAGTAATCCTTTTAGAGCATATTATGATTTATGACCATTTTTCTACCATTTGTTACAAATAATCATCAAGGTGCAGTTATTCCGATCATACAGCTGACCACCATCGTGAGGTTCATTTACTTGCGGACTCAAGAAGAGATTTCTCATTAACAGTTAAAACCAATTTAAAATTCAAGCTAGCAACATGGCAGCTTTGTCGACATCAAAAAGAACCTTTGAGAACCGATTCTCAAATCTTTACTTTTCTAATTTTCAACCTTCGATCTCATTCTTTCTTCTACGATCTTCCCTTGTGTATTTTTAAGAACTGTTTCTTCTTTGTTCATGCTCCTCTTCAACCTCATTTATTTTCTCTCCCGCTCTTATTCTGTACTAACATTCCTAAATACATTAGTTAGATAAGTTTGTAATCAGTTACACAGATCCTTCATACATTAACCCAACTTATCCTTTGTACATAGTTGGATAAATTTATTTTTTTAGTATTTTAACGAAGATTTACACAAACAATTTCTCATATATGAACACTGTATGCATTAGTTAGATTAAAAAAATAATTTATTCATACAAACTAATAGATATAAAATAAATCTATATATATATACATACATACATACATACAGGGAAATATAATTCTATGGAGCCACCTCAGATTTAATCTAAGGATGCACACCTCAATGGATGGATTTGGCTATTTCAATTGGCGATCCGCTCCATTCATTATGATTTAAATGTCTTAAAACATCTACAAAATAAAAATCATGATATTTGAATATTTCTAACACATATTTTTCATTTTCTCTTTAGTTGTATTGTCATATAACCGTTAATTTTACTATCATTTGATGCATTAATAAATACAACCCAATATGCCTAATTTTTAGTTTATATGTCATCCGAATCATATAGATCAAAATGAACAGAGTGGATCAAGTAAATTGATTGCGTATAATCTAATTTTAAAGGTGCATCCTTAGATTCAATCTAAGGTGGCTCCTTAGAATTATATATATCTAGGGTGTAACTAGGTTAGTTACACACGCCTGTAAAAATACATCTTTGACCATTTATTTTGTATATGCAAACCGTTCATTATAATCTACATGTCATCAAATGTGTGGGGATCAAACATGTAGTTTGGAGTTTTCTATCCTATAAATCTAACAACTGAAAATAAATGACCTTTTGGACAATTACAGGCCATTTATTTTTAGGTTTAGACGTGATATCTAATCCATGTGATTTTTTAATCTCTATGAAGTTTTGAATGAATAGATATTAATGAACAGTGTGGATCGTTAATGTTCATGGTCAAACATGTACTTGTACATGTGTGTGTAACTAACTTAGTTACCCCCTAGGTGTATTCTAACCCTACCCATATATGTAGATGTGTGTGTATGAGATGGGTATATGAGGAATATAGGTATGCTTGGTACCAAGCACTAAGTTTGGTAGTGAGGTGGAGGAATGTCAACCATAGATATGAGCGAGATTAGTTGGATGGAAAGTATATCCCCATGTAACATATGTTCTCTTAACATCATATATCCCTTAACATCTCTCTCTCTCTCTCTCACTCTCTCTCTCTCTCTCTCTCTCTCTCTCTCTCTCTCTCTCTCTCTCTCTTTCTCTCTCTCTCTCGGCCCCTACCTCCCTCTTTCCTTAACATCCTTTAATTAATGTTGGCCTCTCTCTCTCTCTCTCTCTCTCTCTCTCTCTCTCTCTCTCTCTCTCTCTCTCTTTCTCTCTCTCTCTCGGCCCCTACCTCCCTCTTTCCTTAACATCCTTTAATTAATGTTGGCATAAAGACACACTGCCCCTTCCTTATTCTTAAATCAATATTGGCATATGGGACCTACAAATTGTGGGGTGTGGTTTCTGGATAGCTTTGTTTCGGGTGAACAAGACTCGTGATGAAATACAGAGGCCTAGGTCTAACAGAGTATGGAAGCACGATAACCACTCTCTTGTGCGTATTTAGACAAGAAACTATAGCGTGAAATAAATGATAATTGTGCCCATACCTTTTCCTAAAAAACACTATATTGCCCTTGTTCAAAGCTTGGGGAAGGAGTAAACAAACAAAATGCCAATGTACATATATCCTTTATTATGTTTGTAATCACATTATATTTACATTTTGGAATACAAAATTGATCATTTTCTTAAGTAAAACTTGGTGCTTGGTAGTAAAATGGATGCAATATTTCATTACGAGTCTTGTTCAGCCAAAACAAAGTCACCCAGAAACCATATCCCACAAATTGTGGGTCCCATTTGCCAACTCTGATTAAAGAATGTTAAGGGAGGGACAGTGTGTCTCTTTATGCCAACATTGATTAAAGGATGTTAAGGAGGGAGGGACGAGCCGAGAGAGAGAGAGATGTTAAGGGATCTATGATGTTAAGCTAGCTATGTAGTAGCTTTTTCAACATAAAAAAGAACCTTTGAGAACCGATTCTCGATTCTTTACTTTTCTATTTTTCAACTTTCAATCTCATTCTTTCTACTATCTTCCCTTGAGTATTTTTAAGAATTGTTGTTTCTATGTTCATGCTTTTCTTCAACCTCATTTATTTTCTCCCCCTCTCTTATTTTGCATCTCTATTGTCCTTTTCTCCTTCCTAAATTTGTATTTCCTTCTACTCTCTCCATAACCCTTGTGTCCCTACTTTTCATGTTCCCGTCTTTTCATTTCTCCTATTGATTGACTAATTGGGCTTATCTTCCCAAAATTTTCCTCATTTTCATTGTCGTTGCTTCCTATTGCTTTCATTAGGGGTTTAGATACATTTTTATTACGGAAGGAACATCCTCCTCTCAGCTCCTATAGTCTTTCTCTAAGGTGTCAAAGGGACCGCTAAAAGATACAGCAAATACCTCCGAGGCTTTTAGCCATCTTAAACATATGGATGACTAGACACGTCTTATTTAAGTTAGGAAAGAAATTGAAAGAGGTCTGCTTTAACAATCTATACTAGATTCGACATATGAAAGAGGTATGCTTTTTCAACAAAATTCAATTTCAAAATAGAATATAATCATAAAAGTAACTACTTACATATTCCCCAAGACGTTCACTAATCTATACTAGATTCGACACCAAAAAAGGTCATTCATGAGCCAACTATACAAATGCAACAGAAAAAGGAACAATTGCATATTTTAATGCTATCCAAGATGAAAAGGGTATTGCATAAATTAGAAATATATTTAAAAATGCACATTATCTAAAGTAAAGACAAGAAAATAAGAAAACAGAAAAGATTGTTACACCTTTACCGCAAATGATTGGCATGTCTTGACAGTCTAATACTTCACACAACCCAATAAAAAGGCAATCCGCTGGACATCATTTTGCTTTGACTACATATAAATTACTTACGGCCAATAAATTAAAATTTTCAGAATTCCAGTCCTGAGATACTCATAGTACCATTCTATTTCATCTAAAAATTTGAAGCCTCAGTTCATTTACATAATCCTCTATTCGATGGTTTATAGAGCCATAGCTCAGGAACCTCCATTCTCTATCACTCAAAGTTCTTCCTGCACTCCCTACATTTCTTCAGCTCATCCACTTCTGAACGTCACTTCATTTTATCAAATTAAATATATACTTTTCCACACTTGCAGTTATAATATGCTTAAATAACCACATTGAGCAAAAGTTCCTAGAATTAATCAGTCTTCAAGCATTGTTCTTGCACGAGGGAATAATAGATATATATTTCTTTGAGTTTCCAATATTTTAACAATCTAAGTATCTTTACAGCTTAGGTGAAGACTTAATAATATAGCAGAACATCTCGACATGCCCAAGGCGAAAACAAGAACTTACCTTTGCCAAGTCCCGAGCTAATTTCTTTGTGGTGATAGCCAATGAATCCCGCTCCTTCGACAACTTAACCTACAAAAAGCCATAAACTTTAAAATAAAACCACAAGTTACGACAACCTAATAACAAACCCATTCAAAATCAAAGTACATTCTCTCCAACAGTGATTCTAAGCCTAGAATCAGCCTCTTCAAACAAACCCTCCAGCTTCGATAACTTCGTCTGCAGCTCTTCAATCGTCCGATCCTTCTCAGCGACCTTTTGCCTCAGCCTCCCCGTCTCCGATTCCAGCTTGGAAACCCTAGATGCAATCGCCAGCGAAGTGATTTTCCTCGCTAAATCCAACTGATCGTAGGGATCCGTCGGGATCACCGAGAGGATTTCGTCTGGGAGATGGAAATCAGTGCTCTGATTCATCTCGCTTAAACCCCTAGGGTTTGGATAAGGTAGAGAGAGAGAGATGAAACCCTAGAAGAAAAAGGTTAGAGTTTTGAAATGTTTGGGGAGCAATTGGAGTGTTTTTATTCTCTTTTTGGGGTTTTGGCTTTCTCAATCCCTCCGCCTCTTTTCTCGTGCGAATTTGAAATCTCTGTGGGGTACAGTGGGTGCAGAGAGGAGATAAAAGAAGTGAGAATATCAAAGTTCCATGCTGTATCATTGCCGTTCTGTGGTAGTTCAGTGGACGCACTTTTTGGCTACTATTGATTCTTCCTGTTTGGTTGTTTTTCTCAAAGTGAAAGGAAAAGAAAGAATGTTGGGAAACTATTAAATAAAATTTTCTTTAATTTTTAAATTTTTTTTATGAAATGGTGTTCTAAAGTATGGATCACGTCAATTAATAAGAAGTTAGCATATCATCACTTTTCTTGGTTTTATGGATTGTTTGGTTCGTTTCATAGATATTGGGAAATGCAATTCCATGTAAAGAATATTAAGTTTTGAGTTTTCCAAAATTGTCCAAGAAATAGATTATTTTTGTTTGGTTCGCATGTAAAATATGGTGGGAAAACAATGTATTTATTTTTCTTGTGTTTGGTTTGTATTGAAAAAAAACTTTTATTGATTTGACACTTTCCACTTTTCTTGTGTTTGGTTGGTTTTGAAGTAGGTAGGGAAAAGTGTTTATGGTCACCATGGTAAGATTACCCCCAACTATACACATGGTACAAATTAGAACTAACATCACATAAATTAAAACTAATATGTTATAAATTAGAACTAACATTGCACAAATTAGAACTAACATGGTACAAATTAGAACTAACATGACATAAATTAGAACTAACATGACACAAATTAGAACTAACATGACATAAATTAAAAATAACATGACACAAATTAGAACTAACATGACACAAATTAGAACTAACATGGTACAAACTAGAACTAACATTGCATAAATTAGAACTAACATGGTACAAATTAGAACTAACATGGTACAAATTAGAACTAATATGACATAAATTCGAACTAACATTGTATAAATTAGAACTAACATGATACAAACTAGAACTAACATTGCATAAATTATAACTAACACGGTACAAATTAGAACTAATATGACATAAATTAGAACTAACATGGTACAAATTAGAACTAATATGGTACAAATTAGAACTAACATGGTGCAAACTAGAACTAACATGGCATAAATTAGGACTAACATGACATAAATTAGAACTAACATGGTACAAATTAGAACTAACATGGTACAAACTAGAACTAACATGACATAAGTTAGAACTAACATGATACAAATTAGGACTAACATGACATAAATTAGGACTAATATGACATAAATTAGGACTAACATGGTACAAATTAGAACTAACATAGTACAAATTAGAACTAACATAACATAAATTAGAACTAACATGGTACAAATTAGAACTAACATGGCATAAATTAGGACTAACATGACATAAATTAGAACAAACATGATACAAATTAGAACTAACATGACATAAATTAGAACTAACATTGTACAAATAGCAACAAAAAGCCCAACAACATAGAGCTAAATTGATCACAAACCTGAACACAACCAGGCCTCCACATACTAACTGATCACAAAGACAATAATTTATCAGAATTTAGTTAGGAGATATCTTGTATGAATTTTCCTTCTTCATTCATTCCTACATCTAATAATAGTTTGCATTTGGAAAAGATAAGACTTCCTTTGAACAAATAATTCAAGCATCTAAAATGTCACGGGTTTTCCATGCAACTTTCTATCATTTCTAGATAACTGGTTAATTAAGTGCTCCATGGAAGGTAAAAGTTCAAAATATATAATCCAATCTAAAATTTGATTATTCAACTCTACCAAATCTCATTGCATTCCGTTGTAGGACCTCAAACAAGTGTGAATTATGAATTTGATTATTCAACTCTACCAAATCTCATTGCATTCCGTTGTAGGACCTCAAACAAGTGTGAATTATGATTTTAATCCAAGAACATTTACAAGGCTCATTGCATTCCGTTGTAGGACCTCAAACAAGTGTGAATTATGATTTTAATCCAAGAACATTTACAAGGGAAAAAATAGTAAGAATTCGCTCAAAATATGCATTAGTCATGGAAACCAAGAAATGGGTATTGCAATTAAACCCCTAAGTAAAGAAATTAAGAAGTGGGTATTGAACTTAAACCCAAAACAAAGGAGAAAATTGAGGGAAAGGATCGACCTTGGGGAGTTGGCACCTCTCCCAAGTTGGCCCTCGACGTTTCTCCCCCATGCCCAAACCTCGCCGTCGGTGGTCACCGCAAGAGAATGGTAGTAGCTCACTTCCACGTTGGCGAACGAGGAGAGAAGATTTAGGATTTTGGTGGGATCGTAGGCGTCGATGAGAGGAGAGGAGAGACCGAGAGCTCCATTGTTGTTGTCGCCGAAGCTGTAAACTGAAGAGGAAGAGGAGATGAATCTGATGGAGGAGAGAGAAAGGCGAAGGAGTCAATTTCAGCGTCGACGAAGCCGACGAGAGAAATCCAGGCGAAAGTCGAAGACGACGAACAAGAAGACAGTGACAAAGAAGGCCGAAGGGGATTTCTGGCGGGAGGAGAGCAAGGAGGTAACCCTAGCATCACCAAAGAAATCAACGACAGAAATGAGAGAGCGATTGTAAGAAGTGACCAGGTTTTCCTAGATTCTCTCAGTTGGGAAAGAAAATCGGGGAGAGAAAAAAGTCCGACGTGGCGGCGTTTTCAGCGGGGTTTCTCCCCTTCAACCCTAGCGAACCAAAGCGACAAAAAGAATCGCGGGGAAAAAAAATCTGATATGGAGGTGGTGTCAAACCCAGAAATAGGTTTCCAAAGCCCTTTTAAGCGAACCAAATAGCCCCTTAAGGTGTGAACCAAACAAAAAAAATATTATGAAAAACTTACAAGAAGATGTACTTTTGTTCCATTTTCTTTCTTTTTTAGTCATTTTCCACAAATTTTGGGCGAACCAAACTGCCCCTAAGGGAAATTGATTGGAGGCACTGAAAATAAGAATCTTTGTCCCTACATTCTTGGAGAACAGTTTGTTTCTATAAACTCATTCAGTTGTTAGTTTCTTTTCTGTAACAATTCCCAAATACCCTCTCAAAACCCTAATCCCATGTTCTCGCCATCGCCGCTATGGCCAAATTCAACCTGGCAGTCGCAATGAAGTGTCACGTAGAAGAGTTTAGACAGAAGAATCTTCCAACTTTCAACTTGTTCATAGTTCTAAATTCTTGTATGATTCTCTTGGGATCGTTCACTGCTCCTCTCCCTAACGAAAGTTTCGCCTCGTCGCAGGCACCCTCAGCTTTTTCCTCTTCCTCAAGACCTCTATCACGATCTCTCACCTTCATCTCCATCTTGATCTTGGGTGGTTCAATCTAGTTAGTAGGAAACCCTTTGCTGATCCACATGTGTTGTGTTATCCTGATCAGATACAAATAGTTCAATGTGCTAGTAGTATTAACTTCACCAAGCATCTAATTAAATGTACTGGTTATCATGTTTCTAAAGTTTCTGGAGGTGAAACTTGAAAGTTCATATACGGTAATTTGAAACGACAGTTTAGCTAGCACAAATGTTTAAAACCATCGTTCTGTAGTAGACGGAGTGACCTTTCTAAGGACTCAATAAACTTTATCACAGAATGGGCCGGCCTTAGTTCATACAAAGGCCTCAACTAGGCATAAATATCAGACAAATCATAACATAGTCATAAATAATGAACAACCTTAACGTCTAATGACTATGTATCAAAGTTAATAAATAAGTACCACCCAAAAACAAGTGTCACATGAAATAAGTTTAATCGGCATTTTTAGTGATGGAGTATAATATCAACAACTTGTAGGCATTTTACGTTTAATTGTTTTCAACTCATCCCAATACATTTTCTCATATGAAAAGTAGACAAGTAAGTACCAATTGGTTATTTATGAATTTCATATGACATATTTGTATTTTTCGTGATAATAATTTTAATTTATTGTGATACTTATTCCTTAACTGTGATATGTGGTAGTTTTCTATGACTTTTCCTTATCTACTATGATACTTATACATTGATCGTGATATACATCCGTTTTTAGTGACTTTTTATTTCCTGTGATACTTATCCCTTAACTGTAACACGTAGTTATTTTCTGTGATTTTTTCTTATTATTTGTGACACTTATAAGTTAACTGTGATACATAATCGTTTTCTGTGACTTTAACTTATTTCATGTGATGCTTATATGTTAACTGTGATACATAGTTATTTTCTGTGATTTTTACTTATTGTTGTGACATCATTTCATTTATTATGATATACATAATTGTTTTATGTGACTTTTGCTTGTTTCCTGTAACACTTATTTATTAACTGTGATACATAATCATTATAGTCATTAGACGTTATAGTTGTTTATTATTTATGACTATGTTATGGTTTGTTTGATATTTGTTAGTTATCAAACATCACATTTTATTTTTTATTGTGACGTATTTCACATTTAAATGTTAGAAATAAACAAGTGGTGGTATAGATGAATCTCAAGGCCGCGAGGTCAAGGGAAGGTGTTTTTTATCATAAATTTCAGCATTCCTAACACGAGGCTATGTTTTTTGAGGAAGAGTACAAGCGACTTTATTTTTTTGTCACATTAAAAGTGGACTCCACTTTCTCCCCTTTTTACCCAATAGTAAAGAAAATGATTAACATCCCAAAAGTCCTGACACTGAAGGAAGCACCAGAAGGCGTCCTTAGATAATTCGGACCTGAACACCTCTCTTCATGCTGCATGGCCTCGTAATTGTAGATGGTCAAAATATATTTTCACTTAGGCTGATGATCAGCTTGGATCCAAGAAGTGAACATCAATAGGCTAAACACTTCAAATAGGCCCAAAGTTAAACCCACAATGAGCTATAGCGAAGGTCACCTGATGATAGCGAACCTCACCGAACAGCGCGCCCATATCGACACGACTCGACCAAATCAAAAGCGAGTCGACTCCCAAAACACTTCTCGCCAGGCGGTATACCTTCTTTCTGTTAGTTTTGGG